CTGTATAAAACAGTTTAAAATGACCCAAAGACGCAGGACCTTTATTATACAACTCTTAGACAAAATGGAGGATGACAACCGTTTCCAAGGTAGGATTGGTTAATAAAATGTTTAAAGTGGGGCTTAACAAAGGTGCATGCAAATGCAAAAAAAAGCATAAGGCATTTGCATGCACATTTTAGATATCTATAAAGGAATTTTGACTAGTCACATTGTTAATTCCAGATATCTACATTGAAATTCTTCCTAGTCACAAAGCTAAATGCAGATATCTCCAAAGAAAGATCTTCCTAGTCAAAAATCAGATTGAGATATCCATAATTAAATTGCAGATATCTTTAAATGGGTTTTGACCAGGAAGAATTCCAATTCAAGATATCTCTTATTAAGTTTTGCCTAGGCAAAAATCAAATTCAAGATATCTACAACTGTAATTTGACTAGCAATAAATTACTTTCAGATATCTACATATGTATTTTGGATATCTTTAAGAAATCATGAATTAAAGATATCTGCAATATAATTATGACTGGTCAAACACCAGTTAGAGATATCTTGAATTATAATTTTGACTAGTGTTAATTCAGTTAGAGATATCTCTAATTTAATTATCACTAGTAGAATTGTAATTTGAGATATCTCTAATTAGAATTATGCCTAGTACAAAATCAATTATAGATATCTTTAATTACAATTTCTACTAGTCAAAACTCTTTTGTAGATATCCGAAAATATTTTTCAAAGAAAAGTCAATGGAACAATACGACTAGTCGTAATAGCATTGTAGATATCTTCAATGCATATAATGACTAGTCATAATCACATTGTAGATATCTTAATTCCAATTACGAGTCAAAAGTGCAGAATAGATATCTGGAATTGGAATTTTGACTAGTCAAAACTAAATTATGACTAGTACAGCAAGGAGTATTTAATGCTAAAAAGGCTTGCCATACAGAATAGATATCTGGAATTGGAATTTTGACTAGTCAAAACTAAATTATGACTAGTACAGCAAGGAGTATTTAATGCTAAAAAGGCTTGCCATACAGAATAGATATCTGGAATTGGAATTTTGACTAGTCAAAACTAAATTATGACTAGTACAGCAAGGAGTATTTAATGCTAAAAAGGCTTGCCATACAGAATAGATATCTGGAATTGGAATTTTGACTAGTCAAAACTAAATTATGACTAGTACAGCAAGGAATATTTAATGTTAAAACGGCTTGCCATACTAGTCACCTTCGGTTATACCGATATTAACTGCGCAACTGTGAGGCTGACGCTGTTGTGTAGGTTTGAGCTTGTAGGCGGCACCGGTGATGTCACACTATCATCCATTCAGCTTTTGGACGTTTACAAAACATTTAGTCTACAATAAGCTATTATACAGTAAACGCATACAACTGCAGATTTAAAACCCCTTAAAATCCAGACTTAAAAATGATTTTCTTGAAATAAATTAAATCAAAGAATCTTGAGTTATGTTGGAGTCCCAAAAAGTATGATGCATAAAAATAAAGCTCAAATCACTTTGTAATGGATATAACGGTGCATCCTAAAATAATAATAATAATTCAATAAAAACATGAGCAAAAGGGAAAACACAGGTGGCATTCTAATTTAATATAAATTCTAAAATTATTTAAGAAGTTACAACACTGGTATTGAATGCATGAGTGACAGCAGTAGAACACACCAAGCTGTAATGTGCAATAATATGCCTTGTGCAATCAAATTAATTAGATTTTTCATTACAAATAATCAATACAAGAAATACAAAATTATATTGTATTTATCCTGTTAATTAGGATATTGGCATTTTACAGTGTTCCAAGGTCTTGGTGATATTACTGAAATTGCATTTTAAATAAAATCTAATACACAATAACCACAAACTAGATCTGTGCTTAGGAAGGATCAGATGGCCAGATCTCTCCATCATAAACATGTCACATATTACATTATTATTAAAAATAATTTGCAATACATCTGAAGCTTTGCAGTGAGTACATGTTTTGCCCCACGAAAGCATTCAAAATATGGTAAATCAATACCACACAAACAAAACTTGTGGTGCTTCAAAACTTGAGATTGTGTTTCACATGTACATTACATATACTATCTATACAACACTAATACACTATCTATACAAAAGTATTAATGCAAAAGAGAGGCCTAGAACCAGAAGCGTTTGACTTTCACTCCTCCGAGCGTGACCGAAAAAGTGAGCTTCTGGAACTGTGGTGCGGATGAGACTCGCAAAGCTTGAGACTCTGGAATAGATACCTGGCTGGTTCTTCTGAGCACACCCAAGTCCAAAACTTACAACCCCTGCTTGAATCCAAGTCCCATTGCCACCAGGACAAACCAGAGGGCCTCCAGAGTCCCCCTGTAAGAGACAAATTATGATATTTACATGGTAGATAATCAGTACAATGGCAGTGTGATAGCATCACATACCTGACAGGAATCCTTGCCTCCTTCTGTATATCCAGCACAGATCATGTCTGATAGGATGTCGACTGTTACTAAATCAGATGACAAAATCTGATACATTGACTGGCAGGAGGACTGGTCAATAATGGGCAGCTGCACTTCCCGGAGCGCCCCAACTCCAGTGAGGGAAACTATTTAAAGGTAAAACAGAGCGAACGCGAATTACAAAATGCAAATAATTACATGTCTTGATATAATTTGATATATAACTACATATAATTTGACCAATTTAGATTGCTGAGATGTCAGAAATACTGGAAAACTTATGTTCTTCCTGAAATTGTGTGACTTTTTCTAATTTAGGGTCATGAACTGCAAAGTGTTGACACTCTGATGTGTTGTGGAAAATACTGTACATACAAAATTTCTATAACGATTAAGATGTTTGAGGGTCATTTGACCCACCTATTTCATCCTTGAAGGCCGCTGCACAGACTCGAAATAGAAACATTTTATGGTTTTTTTTAATGTCAGTCTCTCACCTACTTTCTGAGGGTATGTACATTTATACATTTGGCAGACGCTTTTATGTGAAGAAATTTGCACTGCATTGAAGGCATACATTTTGATCAGTTCAAGCATGTTCAGTTAGCTGGAAACTGAACCCATTCCATTTGAAAACACACTTCTGTGAAAACACTCAGAAGTACTTTTCTACACGTCTTCTGTTTAAAATGTTTTAAAACATACTTACAATACCGTTTATAATGTTTACACTGTATGAAAAATAATTCTGAATACAGTTTTAAAAATCAAATGTTCTCATGTTTATTTATTGGTAATGGGTGAGAAGCATTATTGTTCAAGGTTTGCTGTTTTTAGATATTTTTGTTTGGTTTTCTTTTCATAGTGTGATTTTTAGTCAATTTAAAGATCGTACCCAGATTTAGAACCTATTGTAATACAAGAAAAAAAATATCAATAGTTCAGTATGAAGTAAATGTGCTCTACTCATTCCTCTTGCTTTTGAACTCTTTCTCCTCCTTTCCCACTTAAATATCTTGGCAATATCTCAACTGTATTGGATTTTCTCACAATTAGGCAATTATCTAAATGTCCATGATTGCTTCTAACCTCATCCCCTTTGTCCACCGTGACTACCACTACTGAAATGAAATGGAAATCCAGCTGTCACTCCAAAGACAAAATCCACATGTATAGTACAAAGCCTTAGCCATGAGTTTAAATGGTAAAATATGTTCTTTTCTGTAGTTCTCCCTTATTTCCTTTATAATGCACTTACCACCCGCCTGTGTGTGTCCCCAACCTGTGACGTAGCATAAGGTTCCACTGTTAAACTGGAATCCAGCATATGGTAGACACACAGGCTGGATCCTGTCTGACCAGGTGACCGGAGAGCGCAGCTTCACTAAGGCTACATCTCTGCCCTTCTGAGGGTTTGTGTATCCTTCTGGAACAACCACTCGCTGCACCTGACTGACCATCTCAAACTGGTTATAGCCATTGAGCAGATGGCGTCCCATGTACAGGCGATACGAAGACACGTCTGAGGGGCTGAGGATAGAAGATAAGAAAATATTAACTTCTCTACAATCAACACCGGCATTGATAATATGATAATACTTACTTAGGAAAGCAGTGTGCAGCAGAGAGGACCCAATTTTTTGCAATTATGGATCCACCGCAAACATGGACATTGGCTCCCATCTGAATGTCCACTTGCCATGGCCATGCCCCTGCTGATGCTTCAACTCCTCCCACGATACGCTTCCCTAGCGGAGGCCTGCTGCACACTTGCGTGAACACGTCAGAGGAGATTTAGTGTACACACAGTGTAGAGATTTTCTTACCAGATCACACCTGCCCTACAACACCCCTAGAGTATCATTACAACTTCTCACAATATTAATAAGGAGCTTCACGAACAGGAGCATAAGGCATGAGTGAAAACTGTTGTGGGTAAGGTTACAAACTTAAAAAGGAGGAGGAGAAAGTTTATAAAGGTCAATGATGTGAAGCTCTTTTTTTTTATCCAGATCTATTAATCTATTAAAAACTGCATAAAAATGAAATAAATAATAAAAAAGACCTGAATACACTTTTTAATTTTTCCTGTGATTAACATGTTTTCACTTTCTGTCATTTGGATATGTAATGTGAGGTTTCAAGTAAAAATATCTAGGTGTGACTAGGGATTTGTTGTAATTCATGGGAAATTCTGAAACAGTAGAACATGGTGCTAGCAACCCCAAGGTCATGGGTTCAATTTCTAGGGAAAGCATAAACTGGTAACTTGAAACCTTGAATGCAATGTAAGTCATTTTGGATTAAAAAAATAATAATAATACAAATCTGCTAAATGCATTAAGCAGTGAATCCATTTTCCCCCAAAATATCATTAATTTAAAATTTGGGGGAAATTTTATATATATATATATATGTGTGTGTGTGTGTGTGTGTCACTTTAACGGACATGCAGGAAAGACAATTTTGTGGTCATTTGACAAGAAACAGTCAATTATACAGCAGAAGACCAATATAAACAGAATCATGACTATTACATGTTTTCACTTTCTGTCATTTGGATATGTAATGTGAGGTTTCAAGTAAAAATATCTAGGTGTGACTAGGGATTTGTTGTAATTCATGGGAAATTCTGAAACAGTAGAACATGGTGCTAGCAACCCCAAGGTCATGGGTTCAATTTCTAGGGAAAGCATAAACTGGTAACTTGAAACCTTGAATGCAATGTAAGTCATTTTGGATTAAAAAAATAATAATAATACAAATCTGCTAAATGCATTAAGCAGTGAATCCATTTTCCCCCAAAATATCATTAATTTAAAATTTGGGGGAAATTTTATATATATATATATATGTGTGTGTGTGTGTGTGTGTGTGTGTCACTTTAACGGACATGCAGGAAAGACAATTTTGTGGTCATTTGACAAGAAACAGTCAATTATACAGTAGAAGACCAATATAAACAGAATCATGACTATTATAAGAAGTTTTTTAAAATATTTTTTATATGTTGGCCTTTTAATAGAAAGTTGTCTTGTTCACATCCAACTGAGTAGCCTTAAAATATTTTTCTACCTTGTTATTGAAATAATAATTTTAATAAAAAGTATTTGGTGCCTGTATAGTATTTAGTACTTAATTTAAACAATTTTCTTCACTTATATTTTTCTAGAAATCACTATAAAAACTTTGTATCAAAACAACATGAATACAAAGATTACATTCATAAGAACAGGGCACGATTTTTTTTTATTTTAAATCTCATCTCAGATTTCATAAACTGTCACTGACACATACACCGAAAAATAATTACCTTGTGCCACACACGTTGACAGTCCTGAAGTTTTAAGACAGAAAGACAAATGATGAATGCAATGAATGCAGTGAATCAAATAGTTGTAGTCATAGACCTAGTACACCCTAATAAGACTTACCTGTTAGCATCAAGACGAGGAGGTGTAGCCATGAATCAGTCATTCTGTTCAGTTGGATAATCTGTAAATAATCACGTTAATGTTTTAAAGAATAAACAATAAATTGCTCTTTTAACCCTTATTGAGCTCTAATTCAACAAAGAACAATCAACACTGTTATTAACAATTGGGTCCAAAAACTTACTTGTAATGTCAGAGGTCCAATATCCAAAATAATCCAGTCACATATACTCGAACAATAAAAAATGTCATTCAACTCAAAACATCTTTTACTAATATTTAAATTTGTTTGATCTGAAACATTAAAGTGTGACAAACATGCAAAAAAATAAGAAATCAGGAAGGGGGCCAACACTTTTTCACACCACTGTGTATATATATATAACATCTTTTAACAGTATTTTCTGTGTTTAGATGCAACGTAACCATAGTTAAATTATGTTTTTTTTAGTAAAACAATACTAAAGAATTTATCAGTTTCTCTACAGTAACCATATTTTGATCATTATATTCACATTGGCTATAAAAATGACTGGTTATGAGAAGTCTACCAAAAACACCATGGTTACCTTGAAGCATCTGGAACACGTATTTTACCATTTTAGGTAAAACTTAAAAAAAAAAAAAAAAAGTAAAAAAAATTTTTTTATTAAATAATTTATCATTAATAAGAATGAAACCAGTTTAATAGTTCAGTATCAGTTGTATAAAAATCCCTGACGTATTATTGTTACTCAAGCTGGAGGGCCAGACATGACTGTCTTTATCTTCTATATATATACAGTGGGGCAAAAAAGTATATAGTCAGCCACCAATTGTGCAAGTTCTCCCACTTAAAAAGATGAGAGAGGCCTGTAATTTTCATCATAGGTATACCTCAACTATGAGAGACAAAATGAGGGGAAAAAATCCAGAAAATCACATTGTAGTATATATATATATATATACACACATTTATGTATATTCTATACGTATATAGGGATCAACTTTCACCTAAAAGCCAGACAGGTACTGCACGTGCAATAGGTAATTCTATACTGCCTAATGAATAACTCAGCATAATGTATAAGTTTTTTCTTCCTAAAGCCATGTGAACATGGAAGGTGAGTCTGGTATAAATATTAAACTACCTCACAGAACACAGAACTGAAGTACCATACTGATGCACTAAAAGTTTGACTTTAAATAAAGATGACTCACAAACAGAGACATGAATATTATTATTCATTTATTTAAAAAAAAAATAACAGACTCATTACAATGCAAATGTACAATCTTAGACCTTTCCCTCTTGGAGAAAGTATTTCTACATGACATTTAGGTTAGCTGTGAAAAACATCTGGGGTGAAGGGCTGGTTTCACTCTCTTTGTTTATGATTGGCCTCATTTTTTAGAGAACTTGGCCTGCTTGTGTTTGGGAGGTGCCCATTTCAAACAATGCGTGTCCACTGTAGAAACACAAAATGCAAATGTTTAAACTCTTAAAAAGCGTGATAACACATACATAAGGCTAACAATAGAACAAGCGGCATTATATGCATTTTACAGATCAGTTACCTGTTATTGGTGGTTTCTTGTACTGGGCACTTTTGAGATGTTCCTCTACAAGTTTTGGTGTGACACAGATGACATGTTGACCTTTCCAGTACTTGACCATGTTCAGAGACTGTAGTGTGCTGATGATGTCACTCTGAGTAATGCTTGTCATCTGGCTGTGGGTGCAGACATTATGCATTAGTTAGATCTCTTCATCAAAGCCTTGGCAGTAAACTTACAACACTGCATGTGACCTCATGTATTTGTTTACATGCTGGTTTGTTCTTGTATTTGGGACTGGATGTCTACCTGAGGTCTTTGATGGACAGGGTCCCTCTGAAGTCTCGCAGAATCTCTAGTAGTACCCAAGACCAGTAACTCCTGTAACTCAACTTCCCCAAGTCTGACAGAGGCTTCTCTGGAGACCCCACCATACTCTCCAGCTTAGATAACTCATAACCTGAGAAGAATATGACACAAAGAACAATTGTCAGTGTGTAAAAGTGCTTTTATCAGAAGTGAACATCTGCTGAGAGGTGAAACTTACTGAATGCAATTAGAAATTTTCCATATCCTCTTCGCTGGTATGGAGGAAGAGTGAGAATACAAGCGACATTGTTCCCATCTGGAGACTCCTTCTCCTGCTCATGAAGAATACATAAGATAAAGCATTGCTAACTAAGATACAAATAAACAGATTCACTTCAAAAACAAACAGAAGATACACTTTACCTTAGAGAAGTAGCCCACAATATGTGCTCCCTGTTTGTTGACTTCAGTGAGGATGTAGAAGATGAATGGCTCTACATCAAAGTAAAGTGTTTTATGATCCAGAAAAAGCTTTGCCAGGAGACACAGATTCTGACAATAGATCTACAGTGAGAAGGACAGTGAGAACAACAAACTGTAGGAAAGAATTACATAGGAGTTTGAATCTGTCATAAAATGTTTTGTTTCTTTGATTCATTTTAATGGCAGGTATGATCTGGCTCACCTTATGGTCCTTCCCCTCCACCTCGTACACTGAGATATTGTTTCTGCGATAAATCTCTTTGCCTGGAGGCTGACGCCACTGACACTGCGACTGAAACCGGAGCCATTGAGGAACAAAGAAGGGGAAAACAAAAGACAGTATAAATTCAACATTAACATTATGAGAACATTAACCCATCTGGCTGTGGGTGCAGACATTATGCATTAGTTAGATCTCTTCATCAAAGCCTTGGCAGTAAACTTACAACACTGCATGTGACCTCATGTATTTGTTTACATGCTGGTTTGTTCTTGTATTTGGGACTGGATGTCTACCTGAGGTCTTTGATGGACAGGGTCCCTCTGAAGTCTCGCAGAATCTCTAGTAGTACCCAAGACCAGTAACTCCTGTAACTCAACTTCCCCAAGTCTGACAGAGGCTTCTCTGGAGACCCCACCATACTCTCCAGCTTAGATAACTCATAACCTGAGAAGAATATGACACAAAGAACAATTATCAGTGTGTAAAAGTGCTTTTATCAGAAGTGAACATCTGCTGAGAGGTGAAACTTACTGAATGCAATTAGAAATTTTCCATATCCTCTTCGCTGGTATGGAGGAAGAGTGAGAATACAAGCGACATTGTTCCCATCTGGAGACTCCTTCTCCTGCTCATGAAGAATACATAAGATAAAGCATTGCTAACTAAGATACAAATAAACAGATTCACTTCAAAAACAAACAGAAGATACACTTTACCTTAGAGAAGTAGCCCACAATATGTGCTCCCTGTTTGTTGACTTCAGTGAGGATGTAGAAGATGAATGGCTCTACATCAAAGTAAAGTGTTTTATGATCCAGAAAAAGCTTTGCCAGGAGACACAGATTCTGACAATAGATCTACAGTGAGAAGGACAGTGAGAACAACAAACTGTAGGAAAGAATTACATAGGAGTTTGAATCTGTCATAAAATGATTTGTTTCTTTGATTCATTTTAATGGCAGGTATGATCTGGCTCACCTTATGGTCCTTCCCATCAACCTCGTACACTGAGATATTGTTTCTGCGATAAATCTCTTTTCCTGGAGGCTGACGCCACTGACACTGCGACTGAAACCGGAGCCATTGAGGAACAAAGAAGGGGAAAACAAAAGACAGTATAAATTCAACATTAACATTATGAGAACATTAACCTTACTCTGGGAAGCCAGAAATGCTAGAAAACTAACACAAAAAAAACACAATTTAAAATCAGCTGATCGACAAAGAACAACACTGATCTATGAACAAATGCTTGTAAAAATAAAGCGCTACAGGAAAGAGCCCTAAAACCCAAACAAGGCAGGATTGTTGCACTTCCGGTTCCATTGTCCTGACGTCAGTAGTTTTTTTTGAATGGGGTTTTGGTTAAATGGTCTAATACAAGCTCAAGATGTCTTGACAATCTATTCAACAACATAAAATCATTATCAATAACTATCAAAATGATCATTATCACATCAGTAATACATCATTCATGATTTTTTAAAGCTTTTACACATCTTAAAAAAGGAGGCTGCCAACAAGTGCCTAAGTGGGACTATACAGAGGTTGTCGGGGACATTAATCATGCTAAATAGGAAAACTCACCTACCCGCTAATCTGCTTTTACAGTCTTGTTGTGTTCATAATGACACTTTTGCAAACCATCTTAACTAAAACTTTTCAACTTGTAGATTTTAAATAAAGATTAGAAGAGTTGTCACAAACCTTTCACAGGTGAGAATGTGTTGGTTTGTGTTTTTAAATGTATTAACTCAATATTACAAGTTTTGAAACATTGGTAACTTATGTTGTGTTAGCTAACGCACTCATCTTGTTGTATGGAGTTAGTTAGGTCTACACAACACGTTGAGCTCTCTCGGCCACCGTACGAGAGGGTTCACAGAACATCGGCTGTTATGGTGAATGACGTCAAGTTGACCCTTCAAATATGGCGGATGGCTTACGTATAGTGGCCCATAGAACAGTCGCTAATGAGGCATCTACGTATACTTATCTATGGTGGTGACATAGAAGTCATCCATCTGTGATGTAGTTTGTTTATAGCTTTTTCTTTTTATTTCTGGTGATTGTATTTACACGTAATTCATAAAAGTTGTGTTCATTTGTGAAGATTATCTTGATGAATGTGTCAGAAACAAACTTTTGTTGGTCACAGAGCTTATTTTCATAATTTCAAAGGCCACTGGAAACATATTATTAACTTTTTGTTGAGGGAACCAGGGTGATGCTAACTTCTAGGTTGGCCTACAAGATCACTGCAGCACTCTATTCCAACCATTTAAATTCATTAGCAAAGATGTATAGCACCCCCTATGGTTTAATAACAGATTTACTGTATGAATCAACAACAAAACCATAGTGTGGACTGACCAGGTGGTATCTGAAAGTCTTCTCATACTTCATATACTTCAGGCAGTATTCACAGATCCAAAGCTTGGGCTGTTTTCCATAGTCCTCAGGGAATGGAGAGAAGTACCATGCATCAATCTCAAAGTTCCCAATCTGGATCTTGTCCACATATTTTACTTTTGTGATCTGAAAATAAAAGCAACATTTTGATTAAAAAGAGAAAACAGATGGACATAGTTTGTTATTGATACTGATGGAAACACCATAAGCCAGGGGTGTCCAAACTCGGTCCTGGAGGGCCACTGTCCTGCAGAGTTCAGCTCCAACAATCCCCAAATAACCACACCTGAACCAG